ATTAAATGGTTCAAATCAAGATTTAACCTGTGACTCAGTTTGCAGTGACTTCTTCTCAAGTAAGGGTTTTAAACTGAGAAAGTATCAACCCCGTTTTTTGGAACAAAATCAGATAATACAAAGAATTTGAGGCAGGGAAAGAAAAGTGACCTAATGCTTTGTTTCATTTCCGTCAAAACATGTTGTCATCCTTTTTTGGGGGCCAGGGGACACAGCACGCTCCTGTTCGGTTTGCGAGGAAAACAACTGTACGTTAAATATTCTGAAACAAAACCCCTCATAGAAACCTCCTGAGGCTATTTTGAGTCACGACACACCATTTACCACTGTTACCTTCCGGAGCCTCCACACTCGTGTAGAATGAGGGTGATGAGGACACAAGTGCGTCAAGGAAAGCTGCAGTTGACCAGCAATTTCTCCAGATTAAACGAATCCAGAAGTCTACCTCCCAGACTGCCTAAAAGCACCGGAACCAAGATGAAAGAGGAATGGGTCACAGGCTACAACAGAGAGGGAGGCAATTCCATAAAATCTTGTTCTATACATGCCAGCGATTGCTAAGAGTCATAAATTACTTTCGACAGGACGATGGGGAAGGGCCAGACCCTCCTGCAGAAGCACATTACGTCTTTAAAAGTGCACAGACAGGGCTTCCCTGGTGGCGCAGTAGTTGAGAGTCCGCCTGCCGATGCAGGGGACACGGGTTCATGCCCCGGTCCGGGAAGATCCCACATGCCGTGGAGCGGCTGGGCCCGTGAGCCATGGCCTCTGAGCCTGCGCGTCCGGAGCCTGTGCTCCGCAACGGGAGAAGCCGCAACAGTGAGAGGCCCGCGTACTGCAAAAAAAAAAAAAAAGTGCACAGACAGGGCTTCCCTGGTGGCGCAGTAGTTGAGAGTCCGCCTGCCGATGCAGGGGACACGGGTTCATGCCCCGGTCCGGGAAGATCCCACATGCCGTGGAGCGGCTGGGCCCGTGAGCCATGGCCTCTGAGCCTGCGCGTCCGGAGCCTGTGCTCCGCAACGGGAGAAGCCGCAACAGTGAGAGGCCCGCGTACTGCAAAAAAAAAAAAAAAGTGCACAGACAGGGCTTCCCTGGTGGCGCAGTAGTTGAGAGTCCGCCTGCCGATGCAGGGGACACGGGTTCATGCCCCGGTCCGGGAAGATCCCACATGCCGTGGAGCGGCTGGGCCCGTGAGCCATGGCCTCTGAGCCTGCGCGTCCGGAGCCTGTGCTCCGCAACGGGAGAAGCCGCAACAGTGAGAGGCCCGCGTACTGCAAAAAAAAAAAAAAAAAAAAAAAAAAGTGCACAGACAGAAAGTTCATAATTTGCTTAGTGAAAGGTTTAATACCGTAATACATGTGACCTGGAACACTATATGAGCATGAGGTACAAAAGGATATTTCAAGTAAATACCTATTCTTTCTAAATAAGTAAAAAGTAAAGAAAAGAAGAAAGGAAAGAAGTATATAGTAATAACACAATGGATTTTGCTTTGGTAAGTGCTTCATTACTTCAGCAATTGCACCCACAGATGGTATTGGGTACCGAGACCACACCACAACGTCCAAGTCGCTGGAGGGCACGTCTCTGTGGGCGGCCCGTGGGTCCTATCACTGCGGTATTCCTTCCCAGGACCCTGAAGCTACCCTCCTCTGAGCACCCCGTGCCCCAGGTACACCATGCCATGGCTGCCTGATATGCAGTGGTTGAGTGAACCGAGTTGCTTTGTCCCAGTTTAAAATAAAGTATGCTCTAATGGAAACATTTTAGACCCTTCATCTGGACTGTAATAACTTGGTTATTAAACGTAAGCAACTGGTGGTTAGCAGAGGTGGTGGGTGCAGGAAGAGGGTGAAAAAGTACACACTTGCAGAGTTACAAATAACTCATGGGACCTAATGTACAGCATGGCGACCATAGTTACTAATACTGTATTGCATATTTGATAGTTAAGAAAGTAAATCTTAAAAAGTCCTTATCACAAGATTAAAAAAAATTATAACTGTGTGGTGACAGATGTCAACTAGACTTAGTGGTGATCATTTTGCAATATATACAAATATCCAATCATTATGTTGTACACCTGAAACATAATTAACATTTAATGTTCTGTCGATTATACCTCCATAAAAATGTTGAAATCAAAAAAAAAAAAAAACAAAAAGCAAATAAACAAAAGCAACTGTTCTACATTAGGTAGCTTTTCACTAACCTAAATAAATACAAAAAGAATTCAATCCCATTTTCCCGCACTCCCCGAGGGTTACCTGGATCTTTCTGTTTTATCTTATCACTTACCTGGTGATAAGGTTCTAAGCACTTACCTGTGACTTTTTATCCAGTGTCCACTGGAATTAATCAAAGTGATTTAAAAGACAGCTAAATCTAACAAACTCTGCCTCTGTAACACTACACATTTTAAAAAGAAAACATGGCTAGCCATTTGTCCTTACTGGAAACTTCATCAAAGGTAGGGAAAAAAGACCCAGCTTTAGATTAACTCTATGCCAGTGTCTTACTTCACCTCATTTAGTTCTTGGAACCACCCTAAATGAAACATATAGTTGATTCTTGAACACCATGGAGGTTAGGAGTGCTGACCCCAGGGCAGTGGAAAATCCGAGTATAACTTAGAGTTGGCCCTCCGTCCCTGCAGTTCCTCTGTATCTGGGGTTCAGAGTCCACGGATTCAACCAAGTGCAGATGGTGCAGTACTGTAGCGTTTACTTTTGAAAAGAACCCGCGTGTAAGTGGGCCCACGCACTTCAAACCTATGCTGAACAAGGGTGAACTGTATTTTAAAAGTGAAGAACCATGATCACGAGTTAGGCAATTTATTCAAGACCTAAGCCCTAAGGGACAAAGATGGAGGTCGGACATAGCAAGGTTTGGCCCCTGTGCCTGTCTCGAGTCTCCAGTAGAGCTGTCTACACTGAAACTGAATAAACACGAAGAAACCCAGTATTAGCAAATATGTTCTCTTCAATTTTCACTTCCATAACTTATCTTTCATCATTAGCTCTAATTAAAATAGAAGTGGAAAACTAGCAAATAGAATTGTTTTCAATATAGTTGATTTATACAAGCAAAGATTCGTTTAAACTGCTCTTCTCGCCATTCGACTGTCATTGACTATTTTAGTTAACTTATTTTCATCTAGTAAACTCCCTAATTTTTATTTGTCTAGGTAAAGCTTATCAAATTTAAACACTTAAGATTCTTAAACGTTTGGGAGTTTTGCTGGAAAGCAAATGCCCATTTGTAGCTATTGATATGCAAACAGTTCACATTTTAATGTGTGATCGACTACAGTGTGCATTTCTCTACCAAACAGCCCTCTGTACTGGAAATTCAATGTAAAAGTTAGAGAGTTATGTCTGGCACAAAAATAGTTCTCATTAATTGCTTACCAAACGAAGTCAACAGTCAGAAAACAACTTATGGTTTTACGTGTAATAAACACATGCCATACACGTGCTCAGATGCTACAGTGGTTCCTCGATTCTTCCTCGTGGTAGCTTCAGGGCCTCAGCAGACTACGGAGAGAAGCTGTTCTCTCCAATACAGGGTTAAAGTGAACCATATATCGCTTAGAAAGAAAAATTCCATTGACCCTTTCAATACGTGGGCAGTGGAGGGCACCAATTACCATGCAAAAAGTCAGTCTCAGTCAGAGGTCAGCACAGTTCTTCGACTGGGCCAGAAAGTAAATTTCAGCTTTGTGGGTTGTACGGTCTGTGTCCCAACCACTCAACTCTGACGCTGTACCAAAGCGGCCACACACAATGCGCTAGTGAATGAGCCTGGCTGTGTCAATAAACTTTATTTATGGACACTAAAACTTGAATTTCATATAATTTTCATATGTCACGAAATTGGATTCTCATGTTGATTTTTTTTTTTTAACCATTTAACAACGTTAAGATCATTCTTGGCTCACACACCATACAAAAGCAGGTGGTGGGCTGTATTTGGTCTGTGGGCAGTAATTTCCCCACCCCTGGTCTAAACATACACTCTGTTTTAAGACTTATTTTTTGCTGGCAATTAGATAACTTCTACCTTATTATTAAGTGAGAACAATAATACAAAATCTGCTTAAGGCTTTGTCTAAGCTGCTGGTGTACACATGTTTAAGACAAAAATTTAACACTTATGTCAAGATTAAATATACTGGTAGATGAACAAACTGGCCAAGTTGCATTTATTTTTTGATGTCAAGTCTGTACGGCTCTCATGCACACCACGGCATCTGGCTGCACTTCTGACTATAATACAGCGAGTGCAGGTTCACTTGAAAATGCACAGTTGTACACCTTATGTAAGTTAAAGACAGCTACACTAGTATTTGTTGATAGCAAAAGCGTGATCTGAAGCTCCAGGACTGGACCACTCCCGTGTGGTTTAATAAAAAAATGTACCCAACCATTAAAAATGGCCATCTGGGGAACGGGCCAGTATATAAAACGTTTGTCAGGTAAAATGTAACCATTTAGCTTTTTAAAAAAATGATTTTCAAACTTTAAACCTTTCTATTGAACTGTTACATGGATATACACTATTGGAGCACAAAACAAATTTGCGACAGGCTATATTTTCAGCAACTTGGCTAACTTTTTAAAAATCTGTTTGTGAAGTAATAACATTTTTTAAGAAATAAAATAGTAGCTAAATGAAATCTCTTCTTTCCACATTTAATGTGTTCAGTTGCTTCCAAGTCATCCCCGACTGCCAACAAAAACAACAGAAACCAGAGACCCACTCGAGTGTTTAATTCAAACCTATATTTGCAGTTTCTAAAATGCTGATCCACAGACCACTCTCTCGTTACACATGTGCACCAACGGAAAAGCAAAGAGAACCCCGGTCATCCCACGAGAGGAACAGCTCCTCTTCCAAGAGTCTTCAGAAGGCTACACGTGCAGTCCCTGTGCCCGTCCAGGTGGCGATGCAATAAATACACGGCTCGCCCTGCTCGCCTCGGTCCAGCCAGGCCCGCCACTACCTGTTGTAGGCCCGCTCCTTTTTGGACTTCTCCAGGGCCTTGTCCATGGTCTTCTCGTTCTCCCCTCGGCATTTGGGGCAGTACCACTTGCCCTTGGGTTTATGGTTCAGCCCCACGCAGGAGAAGTGGAACCACTCGATGGGGCACTCGTCATTGTCACAGCCGATCATCTCTCCATAGGAGACCTGATTGCACAGACAGTACGTGGGCTCGTTCGGGTCAATGGGAAGGTCCGCGGGGGACGCCTCCCTCTCGGCTTTGGCCTTGGAGCGTTTCTTCTTCTTGGAGGCCTTCGCCCTCTTCTCCTTAGGCGTTCCGGAGGTGATGTCATCGTGGTCGTGATTATTAGCTGCGTTCTCGCGATTCTCGTTGTTGCGCTGTCGCCGGGACCGCTTGCTGTTAGGCTTCTCTGCCTGCGCGGCTGTCTCCGGTTTTGACTTATCCTGGCCAGCTCTGCTGTGGCCAGTGGTGTCACTGAGCTCTTGCCGTGCCTCGAAGAGTGCCACGTGACTGTCCACCTGCCTGGCCCGGTTCTCCACCAGCTCCACCATCTGGCTCACGATCTGCATCTTCTCGTCGCCCAGCTCCTGGCTCCGAATCAGGGCCCGCTGGATGCAGGCCAGCGCCCTCCTCCGCTGCGCGCCGTCCGCCTCCCGCCTGAACTTCTCGTAGTGCTCATCCAGCTCCCGCAGGGTTTCTGCGAAGGAAACACCAGCGTTACACCCTCACTGTAAACCCTGCCAAGGCTTTCGGTTCTCCGACCTACAAAAAGAGTAACTGTTAAGGGACGAAAAGGATCAATGCAAGGCTTCCTAGCGTGAAAACTCGTAACCTGTAGGCCTCTCTGGCAGGCTTTTTTTCTTCCTGGTGAAAAAAGCCTCTAGAACTAAATACAAACATCAACACGGTTCCTACTTATCAAAGTGCCCCTCAAAGCTGCCCAAGGGACTCTGTGTGCATTCAGAGACTGGGTAATGAAAACTCCTTGGACAGGCAGCTACGGGGAAAGTTCAAGTTTAGGTGAAGTGCTGAGGTCCAAACCTTTATTTTCTGTAAAATTAATGATTATGTCCTACACTTCCATTGTTTTTATTCAAGTATTTTGGTAATAATTGAAAGCCTGTTATTTTAGCTATTTTAACGCACCGACATCTAGAATACCGGATTAAATTAGAGAACGTACATAAATACTACATAGTGGTGACCCAGGGCCTCAGTTTACTGGTCACATCATTCCATCCCAGCACGTACAGGAATATCTCTGTATTACCGTGTATTACTGAAAACAAGAATGGTTTGTCACAATAAGCCAGGCGACCCAGCCTTGCTTTAAAACAAACGTTGCAGATTTTACGTTTCCATTTACTACTTAAAACAATAACATCTATATCTATAAAAGACAACAGATTTTAGATAATCTGACTGAAATAAGGAAAGTATATATTCTTCCCAAGAATCTACTTAAATACACAGAGAGAAATTCCCAGGGTTATTTTCCCTAAACAGTAACCATTAAATTAAATAGTATCAGATTTTTCTCCTGAAAACCTTTTGTAGTCTCTTAAAATAAGGCAATTCAACTCTCCAACTCGGAAGCTGTGGGAGGATATGGGTGGGACGAGTATAAAATGTGACATAACCCCTTTCCAGATCTTATATCCAATTAGTTATAGGGCATAAACCTAACACTAGAGTAAACATAGGAACTTAGGCGAACACTACTTAAGCACATCTTATTTTCCAGGATACATTCTTCAACTGAAGATAGCGCTGAAGACATTTCTTAGAGGAACAATGCAGACTGTCTGCCACCAGAAAGGAGGAATGCCATAGTCTCACGGGCTCTTGGAGTAATTATTCCTGAAAATAAATAGCTCTACTCAACTTATCCAACATTTATTTTTTAAGTGGACTACACATTACAAAACTATACCACTTGGTTTAATTAGTAACCAAGTTTCTAAAGACAATTACCATTTCATAGAAAAGAGAACAATTCCATCATATTGCTAATTTAAAATTTCACAGCATACAGCTTCTTTTACATCCCAAGCGAGCTTACAGCCACGTGAAGCCCCGCTGTGGGGAAGAAACAAACACCCCATTACAAAATTACCAAGAAATAATTATCTTACCTACACAACAGCATACATTTCTTCGATGCCCCAAGCGAAGCATTCTTATCAACAAAGCCACGGAAGTACAAACATCTGTAAACAGGAAGCCCTGTGCTAACCAGGGCGGCATCCTGTGAGCACACCTGGCTTCTTCAGCTTCATCAGCTCCAACCACTGCTGACCCTTTTTTCTAAAAATGCTCCATACCGACACTATAGGAAAGCAATGGTACCATGGAAAGAATCTAAGGATTAAGTGAGACTGCAGCCAAATGTAAACTGATCTGTCTAATTATTAGAAATGTTTTTTTGCTTTACACAGGGATGGCGCTGAAGTTCTTTATGAAGTCTTCTTCCTTGGTGCGTGGGTACTTAAAAAATAATACTTTAAAAGTAAATGAAAAATATTTTAAATTCAAAAATAACCTCAAATATCATTGGTAAACTAATGACGATCCATCCTTATGAATTAATGTCCAGTTGATGTTTACTATGCAAATAATGTTGCCCAAAGTTTGACTTGCAACCTAAGAGTTCTTTTAAAAATAAAGCCTTAATTTTTAGATTAGGCTGTGCTGCGTATCTCAACCCTCAGTACTAAGTCCTAAGTACGCACTGAGCGTGTATTAACTCGACGGAAGACACTCCGGCTCCGAATCGGTAAAACAGGGTGTCAGACAGCAAGGAAAGCTGTAAGAAAGCAACCTCAACGGTATACTGACGTGGACGCTCGAAAATTTCCAGTATGCACTTCTTCGTATCCTTGAGATTTCCTAGAAATACTAAGGAACAGTGCCGGTGACGACGAATTCCTCAAAGACTGGGAAACCCGTTAACTCTCCACTTTAGTCATTCCACCACCCGAGCCGCCTCCGAGCTCAGCGCACACGGGACCCCCTCGGGGGCCGCCGGCTCTCCCTGTCCTGGGTCACCGACCCACCAGGCCCGGGTCACTCACGCTGCCCCCGCTCCACGCAGCCGCACCGGCGGGTTCTCGGGGCCCAGGCGGGAGGCCCGACTGCGCCCTCGGAAGCCCCGACAGCAAGGATTGCCGGCCTCTCCCTGTCCCCCAGTGCGCCGCCATTGCTCCGCGACTGAAGCGACCAGGATCACGTCCGTGGGGGCAGGGCCAAGCCAGTCCCCGCCAATGGGGAGGTGACCAGCCGGCGGCGCACCCCCGCCCCTGGAACCACTGCCTATGGTGATCGCCGGGCCGGAGGGCGGAGGCCAGGCGAGGCACCAATCACAACGCAGGACCAGAGAACACAGCCCGCCCTAGCTACACCAATGGCCAATGCGACGGCGGAGGCCGAGAGACCCGAAGACATTCAAATCAACTCGACCACCTCCCTCCTCCCCGCCCCTCTACCAAAGAGAAAAAAGAAAGCAGCGGAAACAGAGACCCGTGCCAGTCACTGTGCAAGGCCCGCCCTCATCCGGCCCATCAACCAATGGTTCAGCATCCGGCTGAGAAATGCACT